TCTTTCTCCCTGTAGGTGGGACCACCCACTCTCTGCTTGACCTTCCTGTGGGCAAGCCACATGGAGCCACGCTGATGGCTGCCAGAGCCCTGGAGATGCGTCCACCACCACTGGATCCACAAGACTTTCCACCCACCGGCCTGTGATCTTCCTGCACATGCCATCAATGCAAGTGTTGTGTGAGTCTGAAGAGGAATTTATGGACTAGTATCAGACATATGGGCTAGTATCAGATTTATGGACTTGATTTGGACGGGGATGTTTTCTCAATATACAATTGCTGTTTGATATAACGCTCTCTCTTACACACCTATAAATGTCTCTGAATTTGTTTTTCTAGTCAACCCGGTCTAACACACACTGATTAAGAGAATGAGCTCAGCTGCCTGGGTCGGACTTCTGGCTTGACCACCAGCTGTACCGTCTGCTGGGGAGGGACGGAGTGCCGGCTTGGGCCTCGGCTTCTGCACCTGCCTGGTGGACCCTAAAGCACCCCCAACAGGGGATGGAACACATTATCTGTGACAGACACTCAGAACAAGGCCAACGGCATGGTCACACGCTTGATGCGTGGTAGGGTATTATTACTGGCAACAACAGTTTCTGAGTTGCTGTTCTTGAGAAGAGAATAGTTAGCAGTAAAACGTTGTAACAAAATACTTTCCCTTGAGATCTATAAGAAAACAGAATAAATCCATCTGGATTAGAAGAGAATGCAAGGCTGAGACCTGCATCTCTGGGGCAGGGGTAGGGGGTGGAGGTGTTACCAACACTTGTGATTCTTACAACATGGAGAGGTGATTTGAACAGTTTACAAAGAACTTGAGTATATACTTATAAACAAAACAAAAAACCCTTCACTCAAGCCCTTGTCTAAAGGCCAACACAGAGGAGGAATCTTTAAAGGGAAGAACAGCTACAGACTGAACAGAGCCTGTTAGTCTATTTTCCTGTTGGGCAGTGCTTACTCAGGGAAGGAAAATGCACGCAGTTAAAGGTGAATGGCTTCAATCTGAGCACAGGGAATGTGAGGCTACTGGTGTTAAGCACACGACTTTGGGGAGAGTTGGCCGACGAAGCCCCATCACAGAGCGTGCCATGGTGGGAGCCGTCACTGGGGGAGGGAGGAGGCAGTAGAAGGGGTGGACGGGCAACACTTGAGGGACACTGAACATGTCCACTCATCAAATATTCAAGGTGCCAAGCATGAAAGGCAACTTCTCTTTTCCAAGGTTTCCCAGGCCACCCTAACTTGATATTTGATGCCTCAACATTCAGAAAACCTGGAGACAAAAGAAAAGAACTGTCTTGACTCAAAATGTACGCCTGGGGCCCGGCAGGGCTGTGCTCGCATCAGGGCCCTGCAGTTGAAGGAGCAGTTAGGCTCCTCTCAGGGCATTAGAATAGGAAGCCACTCCTAATTTCCAACCAATGTCGTCATCGTCATTGGATGATCACCAGCCCGGGGTCAGGGTTCTTAATCAGGAGTGGAAATGGCCAGCGGTTCTGGAAAACCGAGGGCTTTACCCAAAAGAAAACTCCATCTACAGCAGTCCTCTGCCCTGCGGCTGGCTGTCAGCACAAGCCCGTCGTAAGCCATTCACACTCTTCACACGTCCCACGGCTGCTTCCTCGCTCACGGAGAGTCACGGAGATCTCTGTGTTACTCACTATCTGTGCTTTTATCTTGGGTTATCGTTATTTTATCCTTACCACTTTTATTTTGTTTCCGGTTTTCATGGGTGCTGTTGGGTTTCCAGCGTGTGAAGCTCAGGAGGAGGAGATGCACACAGCTAAGAACTGAAGATGTAAGGGTGGAGGGGGTGGGAGACAGGGAGGGTGAGGGTCAGGGGGAACAAACAATGTATGGGGGGGTACTAGAGCTGACGATGATTACACAACTCATTTTAAAAGTGATTTAACAATCGTGGGGGGTGCAGGGTGGAGAAAATCTTCTGAAACGGATTGTGGTAATGCTTGTCCAACTCTTTGAATTGTGTGATATGTGGATTAAGTGCCAATAAAACTGTTAAAAGAAGATGAGACCTTGCAGAATATAAAAACAGAACAGAGGTAAACACAATATTGTAGAAAGCACTGCAGTGGTAGATACTCATTCCAATAGGGTTTTAATTTCACTCTGGAGAAATGGGTTCTGAATGTTGGGTGTTGGGTTATTTTTCCTTTATCTGAGACGTGGTATACATTCATTCCCTCCATTGCATTCTACTGTCTCTATTATATTGTACTAGCCTCACCAGTCTCTTTCTTTATGTATGTCTATATATGTATATATGTATAAAGGTATGTCAAAATTAAAACACACAAAACAAAACAAGGGCACAGGAGAGAGAAGTTGCAAAGTGAGTTAACTTTTAAGAGTTGTGTAGGCCAGACTTGATGTCAACTTATAGTGACCTTATATGAGGGGCTTGAAAACATGGGTGGAAATGGAACCCAGACATAATGGGATTTTTTCCGCAAACCTTTCGAAGCTCTCTCGCCTCCCAGAGTAGAAATGCCCTTCACGGTTTTGTAAATTGTCATCTTCGTCGGGACACATGGTGAGACCCTTTCTCCTGGCGAGAGGCTGGTGGGTCGGGGCTAACAAGCAAGTGCTTACCCATTGAGAGAGACCAATTTCTAAGATTACACAACGCCCTGGAGATGTCTCAAGGCAAGCCCTAGATTTTCAGTCTAGACAAGGCTCTGACCTCGTCAGTGACCACATTTCGCCTGCACGCCACAACTTCCGTTAGCTGCAGAAGAGGAAGGAGGCTGATTCACGACAGTCAAGTGTAACAGAACGGAGCCCTGCCCGTTCTCGACCCTCCTGAACTGCCGCGCTCATTTTCGCTGGTCCTCGATCTTGTGTGACCAACCGCACAAGCGATTGGTCTTTTCAGCGATTGGCCTTTCCGGGTGACACGGCTAAAGTAAGCAAGACTAGTCGTTCCATCTTTGCTTCGAAGGAAGACGTTCACTGCATTCCTTCCGAGACAGAGCTGTCCGTCTTTCGGTCAGTACACTCGACGTTCTTCGCCACCACACCGCGATCCTCGGGCCTCAGCCCTCCTCGTGTCTTTCCACTTCACTGCCCAGCTTTCCCGCACCTGCCGCCATTCAAAGACAATGGCTGGGACAGGTGTGCCTTGATCTTGGAACAACCTGCTTTTTAGCGGACGACGTGCGCTTCCGACTCTCAGAAAACTGAAGTTCTCTCCTTTCCATGAAAGGCCTGTAAAGATGCTCCCTTGCTCGCTCTGCCCAGCGAGGCAGTGGCTCTGCGCCGGCTCCTTCCCGGCTGTCTCCGCACCGACCCGCCAGTGACCTGGGGCTGACAAGGAGCAAGTGTTGGGGCTCCTGAGGGGAACCACGTGGAAAACCGTGGATGACTTGGGGGAGGGGCATGTGCACACATAGGCCCGGGCTCCCTCCGGCTCTCACGGGGACCAAGGCAGAAAGGGACTCCTCGGTACCATGGGTTAGGTTTGAGGTATTCTGAGCAACAGCCAGCACGGAACATAACAAGAAGGCAAGAACCCGCAGCCCAGCCAGCACCGTCGAGAGGCTTACAAGGCATCGGAAGGAGCTCTCCACAGAACATGAGGATGCTGGGGAGGGCAGGGCGTTTTCTGGGTGCAAAGTGCTAGGCACACAGGGTCAGGTTTTGGGGCCTTTGTGGAGGGGCCTCCTGGCACCCACTGGCTCTGCGGAGGCCAGGGAACCGCTCAGCTGTGATACAGGCGGACTAGGCTGAGCTGCGGGCGCGGGGAAGGCGCTCTGCCAGTTTCCTCTCTTGGAATACCCCCGACTTCTTCTTCGGAAGCGAAGAAGCGCTGGGCAAGGAGCCAGATTACCTCACTCTCTCTACATTGCCCATTAATGTCTAATTTAAATAAACAAAAAAGAAAAGAGGTGCTAAATTCAAATGCCTTATTGCCAAAAGTGATTTCGGGGGGAAAAACATAACAAACACACAAAACACGGACATGTAACAGGGGAACGACCTTGATGGAAGGCGTCTGTGTGTCTGACAAAACATAGCTCAGCCCCCCGGAGCCGGAATGCATGCAGTGCATCTTGGGCACGGCACGCGGGTTTCCCCACCTTCCCCAGGTGTCCTCCTCCAGGGCAGCTCCGCTTCCGGCTCGGCTCGGTTTCCTGAGCCGAAAGAGGGCACCAGGGTGGCTGCCTCGGTCTTCAGAGGCAGACTCGACACGACAATGTCCGAGGAGGGGCCAGCTTTGTCGGACCTTCCAGGGGACTCTCAACGGAACCACCCCGGCGGATACCTTTAGCCAACAGAAATGCATTTTCTCTCCGTTGAGGTTAGAGGTCTGGATGTGGGGTGCTGGCTCTAGGGGAAGGCTCCCCTCTGTGGCTGAGGGCAGGTCCTCAGCTCAAGTCTCCCTGGCTGGCCAGCCTGGGGGGGACCTGGCCCATGAAATGGTCTGTCCCTGGATCTCAGCGCATGTCAGTCTTCCATAGAGCCCGCTCCCTTCTGTACCTCATGTGATTGGCTGTGGGCACACACCACACACATAGGATTCCATCAGCGTAACAGAGAAAACCAAATGCCCACCTGATTTGCTCGCACAGGTACCGGGGTCGGGATGGGCAGCCTGTCTTTTGTGGGCACACAATTCGACCTCAAAGGCCGTTATAAAGACAGTTACTCAAGGGGGGGGGGACACCGGGAGGCAGCAAAACGAAGCCCCGCTGTTAAGTCGGAAGTCCTCAGTGGACAAGGATGGAGTCTTTCTCTCCAAGAGGGTCTCCTCCTGTCTTCCTCAAGCCCGCGAGGAAAAGTACTTACCTCCGTGTCCGACACGGGATGTGCTTAAAGAACAGTGGTTACAGTGATGGGCAACCAAACGGCGGTTACTTGTTAGTGCACAGATCTGTCGGGAGCGCGGCGCGGGCCCTGCAAAGCCTTTCGTGCGTTAGCGCGTCCACGACGGGCCACAATGGAGCTGCGGCAGCGTGGCGTCAGTTACCTTGGGGTCCATACTGGCTCATCTGCGGACCGTATGTCCCACTGGAGTTGCTCTGCTGAAAGCTGCTGATTCCAGGGTGCATCTGGCCCCCCGGAGAAGGGTGGGGTGACATGGGCGGTGCTGTCTGCTGGGGTCCGTACTGAGACATCTGAGGGGTTCTCTGTGAGCCTGCCATAAAGCCTATGGGGAAAGAGACGGGAAGAGGTCAGCACGGTGTCTCATCCACATGCACGCAACAAACACAGATCTGGAACTGCCTGGGGAGGAGGAGGCTGGTGTGGTGAGGTGCCCTCACGTAAGAAGCCTCAAAGACATCTCGAGCCAGTGTTGAGGACCCCAGGGCTGACCGTGAGGGATCCTAACCCAGAGGCTGCCTTAGGGTGCCTGGGGGCCTATGAGTCACAAACTAGAACCAGTGTCCTTAACTCCATCCAGATGACAACATAAACCCAAACACACTGCCGTCCGGTGACACCGACGAGGCCCCAACGGGCAGCAGCAGGAAGCGCACGGCCCCCTTCCCTGCAAGCCCTCGTCTGACCAGGCTGCGTGCGGCATGCGTGCCCCACTCTGAGCGGCCGATCCCTTCCTGATCCCCAACCCCAACCCTGTGTGGAGCCCAGACCAACCCAGTCCTCCAGGTACACACTGCTGGTGTGTCCGATTGATCAGTGCTCGGCCGACTCCTGCAGACACCCCAGGCTCATGATTGCTGACAGGTGCACTTGAAGGCCAGCTCGGGGGTCTGCATTGTGCGCCGACGTCTCCTTTAAACCTGACCTGCTGGGCCGGCGGTCACCCCACCTCTGCTAATGGTTGGGCCGCTCACCAATGTCCATGTCGGAACCTGCACGCCCACATCCTGGCTCCCTGTCCGGCGGGGCCAAGCAGCCGTCAGCGGACCGTGAGGGAGCCGCTTCCTTCTCTGCGTCTCCCTGAAAGCACAGCACCCAAACGGCCACTCTCCCAGCCTGGGAGGCAGTGAGGACCCTCGCTGGTCTCAGGCACCCTCTCCTGTTTCTTGAGGTTCATTTCTGCCAGAATTCTCTTTGACAGAAACTCGGGTCCCCACCCTTTCCCCTGCATAAAACCCTCCAGGGCTTCTCCTTAGTCCTGAGTGTACAACTGTAAGCAGTTCACCACAGCCTGGAGATCTCTCAGGACCGGGGGCGCCTTTCTGAGTTGCCACCTGATCTTCCACAATGCTGCCCCACTTCACTACCTCCTCATCTACCGGCCTCTCCTCTCCTCCGCTTGCTCTCCAGGGGGCTGCCTCCTTCGCCCTTAGGCCATTCTGCTACCACCCCTTCAGTTTCCCACTTGCCTCCTTCCTCTCCCGAAACTTCTCACCACCTGAAACTGTGTGGCTCTGGTTTTGTCTCTTCCCCACTGAAACATGAGCTGCCTGAGGCCAGGGGCCAAGTCTGCCTTCACTGCTCCACTCCATCCTATGGTCCCAAGCGCGGTTAATAACGATTTTCCGAAATGTCCAAAGCGCTACGCAGCCAACAGGAACAGGGAAGTCTTCTGGCGGGCACTCTCCCCAAACTCGGCGGCACGGGTGAGGATGTCAAGGTGCAGCCACATACACGCAAACGCACGCAGGATGGGCTGTGAAGTGCCCACCCCGGGAAGGCCCGGGCGTGGGAAAGGTGAGCAGGATCACTCCTGGGGCGAGTGCTGAACACGCTCCAGACCCACCCGTCTGCGTCGTGCTAGAGCTAGTCTCGACTTATTCTCCAGGGAGAGCAGGGGCTGCCTTCCCGGGAACATCACGTCTGCACAGTAGCTTCTCCAGAGGGTCTGCTGAGGCAGCCAGATGCCTGAAGAGCCTGCCCAGGGCTGTGGAGGTTAAATGGTGGTCTTCAGGAAGACCACTGTTACACTTCAGTGAAAAACAAAACCCAGACCTGGCGACGGAGCTGCTGCCAAAAAGGATCCACGTAAAACACAAGTCGGGGGCTTCTTGTGCTTCATCCTAACTTCTTCCTAAAGACGGGCCCGAGGAAACTGAGGCCGGAGTGCAGTTCCCAGATATACACCACCACAACAGTGGTGGCTTTTTCACACCGGAAAACAATCAGAAACCAGAGCACTGAAATGACCTTAAATGAGTGCACCTTAAGATGGTCCCCGAGATGTCTCTCTGCACCTTACTCTGAAATTCTCAAGTGCTGCAGAAATAAAGGCTGCTTAATAAAAAGCCTGTTTCAATTCTATATGGATTTTTTAAAGGCGAACAACTGCTTTCCTTGCCAGTTGTTAGGGGAAGTAATACCAGGTTCATTCACTAGCGCTTGATTCCACTTCTTCCCTGGCTAGCAGCCCCGATCATATATTGAGCCAAACAAAAGCCCTACCCCCTGCCGCTGCGGGTGACCCTGGCAGGGCAGACCTGCTCCTGGGGCTGGGACCTGGGCTGAGACTTCCTGGGAACACCCTCCCATGGAGCATCTGGTGGGCTCGAACTGCTGACCTCTTGGCTAGTAGCCCAACACTGAACCCCGGTCCTTGACCGCATCAGTAGTCGGCGGATTTCGACGCCAAATGTTCAGAAAATTTTGCATCGGAGCTTGAACAAAACATCAGAATCTGACCCAACCCACGTGATTTTTGTAAACAAAAGCAGTCTGTGTTTCGGTCACTCGGCCTTGGTTGGCGTTGTTAGTACATGCTGTTTAAACTGCTTGTGGCTGTGCTCCAAGCATTTTGCTGTAAGTTTCTTAGTGTTTGTGGCTTTTTGATAAAAACACATGGGCCCTACGAAAGACTTGAAAAGAATCACTACGATAAGGAACTGGTTAACCATGTTATCGATATTGTTGATGATAATTTAGTAAACCCTTTTTTAAAAAGCTAAGGAAATGCCAAGAGCAAACCACATTAGACGGACTTTCTTTTTAGAGAAAGCCAGCCAGGTCCTAGCGAAAAAAGGCAAAGAAGGGAAAAACTCCCGAAAAGCAGCTCCTAGTTGGCAGTACGGAAGGGGATTCCCCTTCCTACAATGACTCTCTGCATCCCTCCTCCACATCCGTGTCCAGAGCTCAGATCCTCATCCATCTCAAGGTACGGACCACACTATAGTTGTTACAAGCTTCTTTAATGTTGTTTCTTATGTAATTATATTATTTAACGCTGAACTTAAGGACTTTGAAATTTCTGTGTAATGTTTTGTACAAAAAGGCAAGGTTTGGGTTAAAAACTTGGTGGTTGAGAATGGATTAATCCATTTTCAGTTATTTCTTATAGGAAAAATTGATTTGGAACTCAACTGCATCACATCTTGACGCTCCCGATTCTAGAACGGATTAGCGTCGAGGTCCGGGTTCTGCTGTACTTTTTCCCCACCGTCACCGGGGCTCCTTTCTGATCATCGCCCCCACCCCTGAGACTCCGGGCACTTATGATGCATCGTGTTTTCTCAGCTCGGGTTATCGATGTGGTGCTCTGTGGGAGAGCCCATTTCTCTGTGGGAGAGCACATTTCTTTGTTCCTGAACATCCTCTCTCAGTCCTTGAAGATTAGAAGTCACCCACTATCTCAATGGTCATCTGGCAGGAAAGCAGGCCCTGGAAAGATGCTGCCAGGAGGTGCAGTTGAAAGTCAATGCAAGCTGTGAAAGTGTCACAGCACCAAAGCCCACACAGGGGGTGGGGGGCATGCTCAAGGTGGGGGGTGGACTGTGCTAGGGAAGCTAACGGTCCCTGGGCACTTCCAAGTGGCATATTACTTCTGATGACACCTATCTTTGGTACCATACCCCACCCCACAAGGCAGTGAAAGGACATGAAACACCCCCCGCCCCCCTGAGACTAGCTTCTGTGCTGTGATCCACAAACAGCCGTCAACCGAGACCAGAAGACCTGGGGACCCCACTCTTGCTTGCGTCACCAGCGAGAATCTGGTCAAGGAGACAGACACGTAAATAAACATATATGGTGTGATGGGATGGAGCTGGCTGGGCGACCCTAGGCAAATTGTATAATTTATCCGAACCTGCCGCCTCCTCGTACGATCAAGTGCCAGGATCCACTGTGATCACGTATGGGAGCGTGTTCTTGGATCTGTGCTGTGACGCAGAGGGAGGGAGAGCTGGCGGTGATAAAGACAGGAGTATCTGTTAAGCCCTTAGTGCCCCCCACGTAGCCAGATGTCGTTCCCAACCAACTAGAATAAAGAAGACAGCTTCACAGCAACCTTTGTGTTTATTTAAGTAAGTGAATGCCCTGTGCCTCCAGAACTTGCTGACTGGAAATTCCAAAAGGCGAAAAAGAGCATCCTCGGGGAAGTAAAGGAGCGTCCGGCAGTTCACTACGCAGTTAGCAGTTGGAAGCCACGAGCCGAGCTGTGGCCACAAGAGAGACAAGGCTTTCCACTCCCAAGACCGATGGTCTCGGCACCCAAGGGCAGTTCCGCTTGGTCCTTCCGGGCGCCGTGAGTCAGAACTGACTGGGACGAAGCCAGTCGTTTCTCTGGTGTCGAGCACCCGTGGACACACTCACCGCCATCGGGCTGGGTCTGACTCAGGTCGAGCGACCCTGTAGGACCGGGCAGAACAGGCCCTGTGGGTGTCTGAGACCCTGACCGCTGACGGGAGTAGAAAGCCTCCTCTTTCTCCCACGGAGTGCCCAGGGGTTTGGAAGCGCTGACCCTGAGGTCAGCCCAACGTGTACCCGACCAGGGCTCCTGTTTGGACGGAGATGTGATTTTGCTCTGTTTGGTCATCCTGGCTACACCCGAGGGGGGCTGTGGTTTACCCTGGGGCACACAAAGCCCACGTACTTTCCTGGGGCCCTTGAGCTTGAAGACGTGATTGTGTCCGGGGCCATCCTTTCTGTAACAGCTGGGGGTCCCTGCAGTCTGGATGAGCCATGCCTGACTGGCCCTGTGGAGATGGTCATTTGGACAGCGTCCTGTCCAGTGCGGGGAGCACGCGCACATAGACATCACGTGCCAGCTGGGGCGTGTCGAAACCGGGTCACCGAGGTGCTGTGCGTGGCCCGAGAGGTGTGGCCATTCCTGCTGCACAGGAGCTGTCCCGCCAGTCCCTCCAGCAGCGATGGGGAGAGGCCTGCTCCACTCACAGTCCCTCCAGCAGCGATGGGGAGAGGCCTGCTCCACTCATGGTCCCTCCAGCAGTGATGGGGAGAGGCCTGCTCCACTCACAGTCCCTCCAGCAG